TGGCCGCCAAAGTTAGGGTTGCAGAAGCAATCAATGTTGCAGCTTATCGAAGTCAATTTCAAGATACGTGTTCGTAGTTCCGTCATCGGGAAGAGAGGGTGTGTTTTGCTGGTTCCGGAGCCGTGGGAGCCGGAGCTTCAATTAGAAGTCAAACTTCCCATGAGCACGGGTTCGACTGTTTTGGAGCAGCTAATTACCATGATTATTATCTTGGCTCTAGGGAGGTGGATTTGGACGCAAGCACAGGTAACTCTTCAATTGATTTTACCGTAGGGTTGGGAGAGCTTGAATTACAACAAACTCGGCCCACTCAACGATCGTCTCTTGCGGAGGGAGAAGACCAGCCGATGCGAACTTCGGATTTCGCCACCACCAAGCAGCCGACTTTGGACGGGATATCGTTGCGCTGGGAACAACGAATGGCGGAGCTCTCCGCCAAATATCAGGCGCCGAATCATGTTAGCGGCGAGTACGGTGAGCCAATCCCCTACGATCCAACAAACAGGGAATGCCTTGTCTTCCCGAATTCCGCGAAGGCAGCGACCGAGTCACAAAAGAAGAACGACGTCACGGCTCAAAGGACCGAATGTTACAATCGAGGAGATCAGCCGATTTCTCAAATGCCCGAGCCATTGAAATCGAAGCTGAAGAAAGCCTCCCTTGACGTTGATGTGGTCATCCCGGCCACCACGTCAGCAACCGCGCTATCGTCGAGGGTTATCACACCACCATCGCGGCTTGTTGGAACCCTAACCATGAAGAGTAGTGCCTTGGGAATGTCCATCACGTCTACGTCACAAGAACCAACCTCGCCGGAGCCGTGCATAGCCATCCGCCTTAAAGGGGGGAGGCGATTCTATCGGAGGAAGAAAAGGAAGAAACAACGGGAAGAGATTGTGACGCTATTGGGAGCCGTAGTTGAATCAGTGGAGGCTGAGGAAGAAGATGAAGCTATTGGCCTCGATGTTTCATCGCCATGGATCACCAACGTATCTATAATTGTTGCACCTCCATTGGTTCACAAGGCGGAGGATGGCGAACTCGAGCGAGTGACGCCAGGAGTGATTAGTTCTGATCCTGGGCTTGTGAATCACGTGTCGAATCCAACAAGGGAGATGACGTGTATGCATGAACGAAAGGAGATCATCTTCTGCAACGGTTTCGAGGATGCTAGGCAGGAATGGAATGTGAGTAAGGAGACCGAGAGTACGGACCCAATTGCCCACGAGTTGAGACCGTCATTGCGTGATGGATTGGGTCTTGAGCAGCATGTGCGTTATCCCGTGAAGTTGGACAGGCTCGGGTTGTAGGGATGGCAATTTACCCACCCATGGGTAATTTTGCCCAAACCCAAGTAGACCCATTTATTATGGGTAGGGTTTGGGTGATGTGTGTATGGGTTTGGGGTTTGTATATGAGTTTGGGTTAGATATGGATATTATCTAAATGGGTATGGGTTGGATATGGATATCCATTTACTTGAGGGTGTTTTAACTACACATGCAAAAATTGGACTTATTTGTAAAACTTGAAAAATTTAGGTACCAAAATGTAAGACCGAAAAAATTTAGGTACCAAAACGTAATTTTCCATCGATATTTTGAGGACTTATATGCAAAAAAATAAATTTAGGTACTAAATATGCATATCTATTAAGTTTAGGTACCAAACTGTGATTTGTATTTGGGCATGGGTACAAACCCAAATCCATTTGTTATAAACCCAACCCAATCCAAAGTAAATAGGTATGGGTACAAACTAGGGATGGCAACAAAACCCGAACCCACGGGTACCCACCCGACCCAACCCGGTCAACGCGGGTAAAATCCGTGTTGACGGGTTTTGGGCCGGGTTTGGGTTTAAACCCGTTCACTATTCACCGGGTTGGGTTTGGGTTTAGGTAAACCCGGCACGTGGGTACCCGCCCACTCATATAATTAATTTTTTCGGCATATTTAATATTCTAAACAACTATTCTTATTTATGTTTGTGGAGACATGTCTAATTTTTTCTTTTTAATTGTGTAGAATGAAGTTGATGTTATGGAGTGGAGACTAAAGAAACTTAATTGAAAGAAAGAAGCTTTTAATTAATCATGTTATTTATGGATAATTTGTGATTTGCTTCAATTTTCATGAGTTTTATAGATTGGTGTTGAACAATTTGTATAGTTAATTTGTGATTTGCTTGAATTTTCTAGAATGGTGTTTTATATATGGATAATTTATATTGAGAGATTGATATTTGACTTTAATTTTGATAAGAACTTGTAATTGTAAATTTTTTACGACAAAACCCGTGGGTACCCATGAACCCGCGGATACCCAACGGGTTGGGTTGGGTTTGAGTTTTTCAAACCCGGTGGGTTTTACCCCGGGTTTTTTTCAAGGATAAACCCATGGGTTTGGGTTTGGGTTTGGCAAAACCCGACCCAACCCGACCCATTGCCATCCCTAGTACAAACCCATCAAACTTTACCCATATCCATATATTTGGATTTCATACCCAACCCAATTGGGTTGGATAGTAAAATACCCATGGGTATGGGCAAAATTGCCATCCAAGGGATTTATTATTGGTTAATTGTCATGTGGGCCTTGGTGCCGAGTTGGGCTTAGTCGCTAGGGTATTATTATTGGTTAATTGTCATGTTATTGTGATTATTTAGGGATATTCGTATTAGTTTATTGTGTCTTGTTGAGTAAGTTATTAGTTACCTTGTTAGAGTGGGATAGAGTTAGCTATTAGGTTTTCTTACGTTTTCCAATAAATATGTACGTTGTTCTTTGGGTTTCGTTAAGCAATGAATAAGAGTAAAGTAAATTAGAGTAATTTAGCTATCTTTATCGCGTTTCATTAGTTTCGTAGAAGAGTTAGAGTTCCACAATACGTGAGATTCCGCTATCACGCATCACAAAATTGGGGATAGTTAAACCATTAACGCTTTTTTGAATAAGTGACTACCTTCATAAATGTTGTCAGTTCCGACTCAGGTCCCCTCATAATGGAGCCCTAAATTGTCTTCCTTCATTATGGAAGGAAGCAAAGTGGCACATTCTTGAACTCCAGTACTTCTTTGATAACCAAGCACCGATCTTCTGGAAGGGCAAGCAACCCAATATGAACCATTGTACCTTCTAATGGTTAAATAAGACTCTAAGAAAATCAAAGGCCTTGACTTGAACTTTCCTTCAAATATAACATAACTCTGTGTAATGGTTGCATGTGCATAGTGGTATGATTTGATTGAAATCATTGAAGTTAAATGTGCGTTTCTACACAGAAGCGGACACATGAGCAAAAGTGTAAAATATAAAAGCGTAAGTTTTTGTGTATTATCTTATTGAAATTTCACATAATTTATGACAAATTTAAAAAGGTCATTGCTCATGCATAGAGGTGGCAATTCTCAATCCAATCCACCAACCCGTTAAAAATATCCACCTAATCCAATCCATTTGATCCAAATCCAATTGGATTGGTGGATTCATGAATTAATCCATGGATCCAAATGGCAAATTACGATTTGATACCTATACTTTTTATTTTACATTTTGGTACCCAAAATTTATTTTTTTATACGAAAAATATCATTGAAAACTTACGTTTTGGTACCTAAAACTTTTCATTATGAAATTTTAGTACCTAAAATTTTCACATTTTACATATTGGTTATTTGTTGAGGATGTCATTTGGATTCATGGATAATCCACCAATCCATGAATCCACCAATCCATGGATCCACCAATCCATGGATCAATCCATTTGCCATCTCTACTCATGCAAATAATATAATTCAACTAACTTTTCATTAGTGCATCAATTCAACATTTTCATCCAAGTATTCATCATTTCTATCATCATCATTGTCATCGCCTTCATACTACCATTGACAATACCACAGAGTCATAGTCACTATTATCTCTTACAAGATTATTTCCCTAAATACAATAAAATTAAAAGTAATTCTCATAATACATCACTTTTATAAATATTTTCCAAACTACCAAAGTTTGAACCGGTTCGAGTTTAATAAACTTGAACTAGTACCAGATCGATTGCCAAGGGATCGATCCACGTGCATCGAGTGAAACAACCACGATTGGCTGGCACAGGACGAAGCCGATCGAGTTTATTAAACTCGTTTTACATGGATCGAGTACAGAGGACTCGAACTAGGTGACATGGATCGATGACATAGACAGCGCTCCACCCTAAATCGAGGTACAGGGGATCGATCTCTACCGTTCGATGGCCATATCCGCGATGAAGAGGTGACACGGATCGAGTGGGCGGAACTTGATGCAAGTGGATCGAGCGCTTGGGAATCGATCTGCTTGACTCGGATCGATGACGTCAGACTCGCTTTGCGTAGATCGAGTACTTCAAACTCGATCTGGGTCGTTCAATCTGCCATTACTCGAGCTGCTTTTGACGTGGATCGAAGGCTGCAAAAATGATGCTGCTGTTCGAGTCCCCGAAACTCGATCCACCTCCTCCCACAACACCTATAAATACCCCCTTCCATTCCACCAAAACTCACACCACTCCATTCTTCTTCCTCTCTTCCTCCCACCACTCTTGAAGAAAAAAATATGCTCTGTGGTTGCGGCTAAACCCGATCTTCCGCATCATATTTTTTTTCTTTAGTTTGGTACTTCTATCACTCAAAATTGCCGAGATGGATCCGAGTATTTACGATCCTAGATTATACATTCAAGGCGGACCGCGAGAAACCGATTTGTTGGATGAGCAACCTTACCATCGGTCTGAAAGTGTTTGGGCGGCATATCCGGTAAGCACTTCCTCATGTACTTTTCTTTTTTAAATGTGATAGTATTCTTCTAAATTTTTTTGTATAATAATTAATGTTTTTTTTTCTACAGGAACAACTTGACGTAATCACCCATCGGTCGCTATCTCGCTTGCCTAAATGGGATGATCGTATCGAGCCATTCATTGAAAGAGCGCGATTGCTGAGGGTGCGAAAGTTTGTGGGGATGGAGATGGACAACAACCTTCTTACGGAAATGGTGGAAAGATGGAGAAAAGAAACCCACACATTTCACCTTCTAGAGGGAGAGATGACGATTACGTTGAGTGACGTAGCCATGCTAACAGAGCTTCCAATCGATGGTGATGCAATAATAGAAAGTTCACAGAAATCATTGAATGGTTGGGGCCCATTTATAAGCGAGCGTTTAGGTATCAACATCCCCGAGAAAGCACCAGAAGGTCGTCGTGTACCACCTCTACACAAGTCTATGCTATTGATACCTTGGCTAGTGAGGACCGCTGGAGAATTACCGGAGGATGCCACGGATGCTCAGATAGAGAGGTATGCTCGCATCTACCTGATTGTTTGGTTGAAGGATTTTTGTTTTCGAACAAGTCTGGTGGAAATATGCATTGTATGTGGCTTCGAGTTATTTTGGAAGAGTGGGACGAGATTGGGAGAAAAAGTTGGGGATCTGCTTGTTTGGCGATGATATATTCGGAGTTGTGCAAGTGTACGGATCCGAAAACAAAGCAAGCGGGTGGTCCCATGTTCATCCTCCAACTATGGGTTTGGGAGCACCTTCCTACTTTCGCTCCGATCTGCCCCGCCAACAGTTGGGGTCCCGAAGAGCCACTACGACAATGAGCTTATGGTGCTAGATGGATTGGAGATATCACGAGACTCACCTCTCTAGACGGGTACCACCAACATCTTGATCGTATAGAATTCAACGAGGTAACATTCTAGCTTATGATTATGAATGCTAATTTATTTGTTGAAATTATTTGTCTTAGCCCATGATTTATTTTTATGATTATGAATCCAATTTTATTTGTTGAAATTATTTGTCTTAGCCCATGATTTATTTTTATGATTATGAATGCTAATTTATTTGTTGAAATTATTTATCTTAGTCTTAGCCTATGATTTATTTTTATGATTACGAATTCTATTTTATTTGTTGAAATTATTTGTCTTAGCCCATAATTTATTTTTACGATTATGAATGCTAATTTATTTGTTGAAATTATTTGTCTTAGTCTTAGCCTATGATTTATTTTTATGATTACGAATTCTATTTTATTTGTTTAAATTATTTGTCTTAGCCCATGATTTATTTTTATGATTACGAATTCTATTTTATTTTAATTACAATGTTGTGTTAAAACTTAGGTGGAGTGGATCCGTATCTGAACGGAGCAAAGGATTTGTACGAGTTGAGATACCCTGAGGATCGTCGACTCTGGTCGTGCAAGTTGCCTGTGATTTGCCACAACATTGTCGAGTGACACCTCCCGGATAGATGTGTCCGAAAATATAATTGGGCGCAACCGATTCCTCTCCCACCACCGGACGTACATAAGTCACTCCACAAGTACAACAAGAATCTGCGGGGTACAATTAGTGATTGGCCAACCAAGCACCATAGATGGATTGAAATGTGGGAGTCTCATCAGACGTATGCAATTGATGGGATCCCAATGACGAGGCCAATGGGGTACCAAGATGAATACATGGTTTGGTACCGCAAGTTCACAAAAAGATGGGTAACCAAACGTGGCGCCGTGATCGGTTCGTTGGTAAGCACAATATATATTTACTATAATCACTTTAGCTACACAAAGAGTGTTTGACTAACATGTTTATTATTTAGGTTGATGGGTTGGAACTTGCATCAATGACGTTGGAGAGTGAACCAGAACAAAATGTGACACCTGAGAAAATTTCATTCTTGAAGAAGCTCTTCAAGAATCTCTTGTCATGTTCGCGGGAAATCCGAAGGGATGTCATTGCATATCCTCCTGCACCGCCACGTCTTTCCTTCCACGCCATTGAAGTTGAATCCCTCCCGCCATCACCACCAAGGAGGAGTAAACGTCGGCAAGAGCCAGTTACAGTCCCTGTGCAAGTACGAGAAGATGTGGCACTTCCTGACCCATACGAGTATGGATTCCCCCGTCAGAAGGGAATTCGAAGAAGGATCATCAGGTCCTGCTCAAGGAGGGGGAGGAGGAGCCAACTATACTCCCTCGTATGGTCCTCAATTCCAAACCCCGCAGCAAAGCTTCCAGCCTCCGATGACAAATGTTTATTATGGTCCTCCAGCCACTGCAACCCCACCTCCAATGCCACGAAATACTGGAATTAGATATGGAGTTCGTTCAAGGAATAGACGTCGAAGAGAGGGACGCGGACTTGGTGCACAAGAGTGAGGTGTTCTTTAGAGTTGTTAAGTTGTTCTATTTCTTTAGAGTTATTAATGTGTTCTATTTCTAATGACGTTGTTAAGTTGTTTTATTTCTTTAGAGTTGTTAAGGTGTTTTATTTGTAATGACGTTGTTAAGGTGTTCTATTTCTAATGACGTTGTTAAGTTGTTCTATTTCTCTAGAGTTGTTAAGTTGTTATATTTCACAACATAAAATTCAAATTACAACATAAAGTTCTTAAATCACAACATAAAATTCAAATTACAACATAAACTTTCAATTGTCAGTCGATGGCCCTGGACACTGGCGCCTATCATGCCCTTCAACTCGACATGCAGAGCACTTCTTCGGGCGGCGTCGCTGTGTCCTTGATCTATCCATCTCATTTGCAATTCGGTTAACTCTAGGTCGACCTTTGGTACGCTTCATGTGCTCGGGAGGGTACACTACAGGTCCATCATACTGGGGCCAATATGCTTCGTGAGCTAAGGGAATGAACGACCCTTCCCAAACTCTGACCACTTATAGAGTCTTGTAGTATTGACTAACAAATATCAAATGGTCCATATTAATGCTTCTCGCAGCTGCATATGCATGAGAGCAAGGCAGGTGTCTCCCTTGAAACTTCCCACAAGTACACTCTCTTGTTCCATTCCTTGCATCCAGTATAACTGTTTGATCATTACCACCCTTTGAACTATCTGGTCCACTTCCTGTTAATACTGCGAAGTGAGAATCTCTTCGACTTAATAAAGTCACCTTATGCCATTTTGCTCTTTCCGACCATGGTTTCATGTCATCCGTAATCTTCTTTGGGATGTAGATTCCAGCATTCAGCATCTGATATGCTGCTTGGTAGCGTTCAACGAACCATGTCACCATACGAAAGAAGGTATGCAAGACTATAGATGAGATAGGCATTGCACGAAGACCAACATACAAACCATTGAGGTACTCACCCATGTTCGTTGTTGTTATTCCATACCTATACCCTTCGTCTTGATGTAACGTCCACCTCTCAAAAGGATGAGTTTCTAGCCAATCTGCACCTTCAGAGTGGACCTCCCTTATGCTCTTCATTTTGTCTACAAACTTTCGAGTCTGAAAAGCAATAGCTACAATAAAGCAAAATAAGGTTAGTAAAGGAGTATACGCATTCAACCAATTGAGTTAATCACAACATCTTATTTGTTCTTACCAGCGTGCCAAACTGCATGTTGTCCATAAGTTCTACCAAAGTGCTTCCCGTAATTGCTTTTGAAATGTCGTATGCACCAGCGCCACTTCCACCCTAGCTCCTCAGGCAAGTCGTAGAAAGCATGTGCAATTCCATGGTGTCGATCAGAAAGTATGGCAATGTCCTCCCGTTGAGTGACACAAAGTGTATAGTTGGGAAAAAAATCATGGCCAACTTAAGTTTTTCTCCGATTCGACTATAGCAAAAGCAAACGTGAAAAGTTGCATACTGCCATCAACACTAGTGGCAACGAGTAAAGTGCCCTTGTATTTGCCGGTCAGAAAGGTGCCATTAACTTGGATTATTGGCAGACAATGGGTGAAACCATCAATGCGTGGTTTGAATTCCCAAAATAGTTGCTTAAACACGCGTTTAGCACCCCCATAGAAATCTTCGTAACTAGGCACAAAAACTGACCCAGGATTCTTGTCCACCATCGCAAGAATCAAACGAGGCATGTTACCAAATGACTCTTCCCAATCGCCATACACCTCTGCCATAGCTTTTTGCTTCCCATGCCATGCTTTCTTGTAACTGATGGTATAGCCATGTCGATTCTTCACGTCAGCGATGACACTCTTCACGGTGATCCCAGGTTGTGCTTCAATCAGATGTTTGATTGTTTGTGCAACCTTCCATGCACTCAATTGTCGGTGATCTAGAGAAATCAGTGACGACCTACAAGTGTGGTTGTTGTCTGTCTTACGAATGAGCCAAACCCCATTTCTTTTAACATATGCCGCCCGAACATGCCACATGCATCCGTCGCCATGGTTCTCGCAACGAACATGAATTCTTTTAGTGTCAGAAGTGATGACACGATATTGAAAGCTTCTTCGCATAGCAGTTTCTTTCAATGCATCGACCACCTGAGGCTTTCCTCCAAATGTTTGGCCAACCACGAATCCAGAATCAGGAGTCCAGATAGGTATAGGAGGGAGGTCAGGATCGTCGTTGTGAGCATAGAGAGGATGTTGTGGCACCATCGTGTAGTGAGGTGTGGGGGGCTCAAATTCCCCCTCATCAACTTCCAGATCTTCACCATTTTAACTACTCATTGATTCTAACTCTTCATCTTTCATGTTGCTTGCCTCGCTAGTGTACGGAGGACTTGGTTTATCCACATACGGATCATTGTTGATGCCAGATGCTGGTGTAGATGCTTGTCTGGGTGACTGTCTGGGTGCCCTTATGTAATCCCATTATTCACCCCATAATGGCCACTCATGTCCGTCATGTTCTACCAATGGACCAGTTGCAGTTCGATCCTCGTATGTTGGCCATGGTGCATCATGCAAAACTCTGCAATCTCCTGAACCGGAAACCCTCCGGATCCTTGACCTTTTTCGGTATAACCGCCGCCACCATATGGGGCAACAACTTCTGTCTCGACATACACCTCAGCAATTGGAAATCTGTTCCCTGCAATAAATCTCACCATCATATTAATTTCATCATCGTCAGACAAAACTTATCCTTCATATACAAGTGCATAATCCTTGTAAACTGGCATACGATAAGTCGTCTTGCATACTCTTCGCCCTCCTATGCAACATCGTTCCTCACAAATATGGCTGAGTTCTTGCCAAGTAAATATGCTTTCAATCCGGACAGTACTTGATTTACCATCTTTGTAGTCAATACTATTATGAAAATGTGTAATTCAACCATTCCACCGAATCAATAAGTTGAATTTTTGAAATTTTCTACCCATTTATGCAGTTTATAGAAGCAGATCATTACATACATTACAAACAATACTAAATTAATCCAAAATTCTAATATGCTCATTAAAACAACGTAAGCAGAACTTACCTCCAAAAATTTTCTTCTTTGCTCAGCTATGGTGCTCCAGCTGCTGCAGTTTGTGTTTGGAAGAAAGAAGATAGTAAAAGAGCTGCCAGAATGTGCTAAGTGATTGCTTTTTATCCTCGTAAACTGATGCAGTGGTTCGAGGCCAAAAAACTCGAACTACAATAGTTCGAGTCCATTAAACTCGATCAAGGCCAACCAATAATTTTACCCCTGCACCCTATTCTGGAGCA